GTAAGTTTTCTTTCTTTATTAGTTATAAAAATTTATATCCTAGCTTTATAATCTAAAATTACCATAAGTATCATCATCATCATTTTGGCTTTACAACCATGTGTGGGTCCTAGCCTCCCCAATAATTCTCTTCCAGTCGTCCCTATCCATCGCCTTCCTCCGCCAAGCACGTATTTCCATATTTCTCATATCTTGGTCTATGTTATCTAGGAATTTTGTTCAGGGTCTTCCTCTTCTCCTTTGACCAATAGGTCTATCAAGGAGCGTTTTTCTAGCCAGGTCGGTTTGCTCCATCCGCATTACATGGCCTACCCACCTCAGACGTCCATATTACCATAAGTATACAGTTAAAAAATTTTTAAAATTCGGGTAGAACTTAAAAAAAAATTTAAAATTCCCCGCTATTTTCTTATTCTGTATTAAAAATACAAAACCTACAACTTCTTTAAAACAAGAGACTTTTTATTAATAAACTTATTTACAACAATCCGACAATATTAATTGTCGGAATATTAATTGCACAACACAACAATTAACCCTCACTTCATCGGGTGACCATTCTAAAACACTTTCGGTCGTGTGTGGTCTGTGAGGACCAAAGTGAAATACCGCCTCCCGAGCAACAGCATACATTTTATTGCTAATTTCGTATCAACGCGTTTTAAACAAATCATTTACTATATAATGTTTATTACAGAAACAATTCCAAAATTGTAAAGTTGTATTAGGTAAATTTTAAAAATGTTTACAATTTCAGCGCATATTTTTTCAAATTTGTGAACAGCGACTAAATAATGAAAAAACAAAAAAAACATTTAAAACTTTAATTAGAAACAAAGTACTACAAAAAGATATATAAACTAAAAAAATTAAATTGTGGGCACAAACTACAGTGGTCAAACTTTGGTGGTCAAACTTTGGTGGTCAAACTTTCTAAGCAATCTTTGCAGCATGCCATTATGTGGTCCATACAAAGCCAGGTTTTGCAAATTTTGCAAAAAAACGAGTTTTGCGTCTTTTGCAATATTTACAATTTCCTCTCTTACCTGGTTGGGGCTCTGGTACAACGTCGACCTCAATGCCTGAGTCTCAAGGCCGAAGCACGCACAGCTTTTGTCAACTGCTCTCCGTCGTATACTCTCCTGTACCAATTCAATCTTTGCATTTTGTTTACCTAGGTTTTTTTGGAATAATCTTCGCGTTTTGAAAAATTCTTAATCTGGGTTGTTGCCTTTGTAAATTACAAATGCATTAATTGCTGCGAGATTAAGGAGATTATAAACTACTACCATTGACCAATGTTTCGTATTTCTGGAAACATTATATGAGGTTATCATTCTATCTACAACATCTACTCCACTCTTTGTGGAATTATAAACAGTAATTATTTCTGGTTTTTTCTGATCACCAGTATCTTCATCAATCCAATAATCTCTGTGCACAGTGGAAACAGCAATCACATTTTTTCCTTTCCTCGGTATATATGATACGGCAGTCATATCGTTGCTAAATGCAAAAACTGAAGAATATACCTCCCTATTTCTAATTTGCGTTATTTTTGCAGGTAATTCTCGTCTGTTGGCTCTAATTGTACCAATTACGATGAGTCGTTCTTCTCTTAGTACTTTCTTGGCAATTGCATATCCTGTGAACCAGCGGTCTATGGATATGTTTCTTCCTGAACTCGATAAATGTAAGCACTTCCTTTCAGTTACTGCAGAAGTAGAATTGTCAACTTCATATGGGCCTTCGGGTTGAATACCAGCATAGATTTGTGCAAGGTGAAGAAAGTTTTGGCATCAAGAACTGAAAAAATTTTGAGCCCATATTTGTTAGGTTTGTTGGGAATATACATTTTAAAACTACATCTGCACCTAAAGGCAAGTAAAAATTTGTATAAAGTCACAAACTCTCCCAATGACTCTTACAATTCTTACAATTTTCATTGAACTTAGGGTCGTGGTATCATCAAAACGGATACACTTCAGTAAAAATATAAACCTACGTTTTGCCATTGTAGCAGAAAATATCTCATATCCCAAACAATTTGACGACCAGTACTCTTATAAATTTGTTGTTGATGCTTGATCGAGTCCAACCAAATACAATAAACCAATCAGTGATCGAATTTCTACTGGGTCAGTAGGTCGACATATATCCTTTTCTTGATATCTAACGGAAATTTTTTTATGTATAAATTCGTGTTTTTATTTATAATATCAATGCAGTTACCAAACATGTGCATCCAGCATTCAATGGGAGATAATCCGTGTCGCGCTTCACCAACAAAACCAGGCAAATGGATCACTATGTTTTCGTTACTTGTTCTAATATTTCTGGTTGGGACAAATTTTCTCTATGTAGTTCAGTTTTTACCAAAAAAATATAAGCCTCTCTCATGACCCATTTGTTTCTCATTGTCTTCATTCTCATTTAGAATTTGCTCATCTTGATTTTTCTGCTGGTTGTCTGTATCATGATCACTGATCCCTAGAAAATCTGGATCCGCGATCGAATCGTCGTCAGAGTTGTCTATTTCACTGACTGTGGCAGTTTTTCTCTATTTACACTTCATAAGGATCCATTTTACAATGCTAAAATACAATATTTTGTCAAATAAATCAGATTAGTAAATTATGCAGCTACTTCGTACCTTTATAATGTTTGTCCAACCTAATCTCGATACGAAATTATTCTTATATTGATATTTTACAAAAATTTGTAAACACTTTTCATATACTTTACTATTTTCTTTGTTAGATTTCGACATTTCAATCGTAAACCGTTCAAACAGGTTTTAATCCACAACTGATGCGCAGACCACAGACAAAAAATTTTTATCGGTGAACTGACGTATTTTCTCGGAACAACCGAATAATCCAGTTCACAAAAATGCACAGGATTGCCAAGTGAAACAAGATTGCAAGAAAAATACAACTAAGAAGCAGTGCAAATATTGTTACACATTTGATCGGATGAGGTCTGTTAGGATAAACGGCCATGCAGCAGCTATAGGTAGAAATTAAAAAAAATAAAGTGAGAGAATTATCCAAAATTTTTATTTTGTCGTAGACTCACAGACCACACCCGATGAACGGAGGGTTATCAAGGAACCAAGTAAAATACTTATAAATTCTCAGTTTACCTATAAAATTTAGTTTCTCCATATTCCGTATTTTATGCGTCATTATCATTATTTAATAAGAAATTTGTTTCCACCATTATTGTGGAAGTGTCCAATCTTAAACTATTTTTTAACTTCGATCACTTTCGGTATTCTTTTTTACCAGTTTTCTTTGGTAATACTCGATACGTTGTTTTTAATTATCTCAATTACCTATTTATCAAATTTAGGACATGTATTTTCATCTCTTATAGTTGGTTTTATTTGTCCCCAAATTAACTCTACGATTACACGCACACAAAATATATAATAGGGGAAGTATCACTACCAATGCTTTTCAGTAATACTCTCTAGGGCGTATAATTTGTTAAATTGCTTCGAATATAGAACTACTATAAGTTGTTTTTTTATATAAAAATACTCGAAATACAAATCACCTTCCAATAAAAAACTTTGCTGTTCAACTTTCTTTGAAGTGAGCTGTAGGAAGCTTTTCAAGTAGGTAATATAAGTACTATATAAGTTGGTGCCAAATAGTGTTTTACTGCACTATTTTGCTCAAACTTTGGAATCAGTGTGTTTTCAAACCAACCTTTCAACATATTAGCTTCCATACCCTTGTGGTAGTCAACGTTACAATCCTCTATTTTCTTCCCATATAATTCTAAAGCATTCGGAACCCTTCTCTCACTTCCTCCGCAAGGTAGAATAATTATTGCGATTCCATATGCGATGCGTCGTATTTAAACCAACTGATCATTTCTTAACTGCAAGCAAGCAAGAAATTTAATTGAACCCAGCCTATGAGAAATGATCACCCAGGTGGTACGATCGGGTGTAACAATTCATTGGAGCAAGGTGTATTAACTCGAGTAAAAACAGGAGTCACCCCACCGTGCTCCAATGCTCTAGACCATCCCTTTCCCCCGTATAGCACTCTGATGCGCTATAGAGGCACAACAATCAGCCAAATGCTCTTCATGTGGAGGTCCTGGGTAATAGAACATGGTTTCCTAACCGAATGCAAAAACTCAGGACAGCGCATCTCCGCTATATTCCTGTTATCTTAATATGGCTTATCCGCGAACTAAAATTGTTTACTTGGGCCACAGGTCTCCGCTCTGAGTCCCGGCTCAGTTCGGCGACTTGGTGCTCAATGGGTTGGGCCCTACGTGTCCGGGTTTTGGGGTTTTTGTTAATTTTTTTGGTGGCCGAAGCCGGTTTTTGTTAGTAATTTTTTTTTTATTTTTTTGGTGGCCGAGGCCGGTTTTTTGCGTTTTTTGTGTTTTTTTTTGTAGGTGACCTGTGGACAAAAAATCATAATTAGTATATAGTCCATATTATAATGAAGAAAATATATAAAATATTATACGATACCACAATACAGACTGTATCCTTGTGTGAGCAGCTGGGCCCACTGTGTACGAGGCGATATGCGATATTCTGGGTGATTTGAGCTACGAACTATCTTCCTTGTGTGAGTGTTATGATTTTGGAGTTTCTTGTCACTCTGGGGTTTTGTATGGTATCGTTCCCTCTATGGGGGTTTTTATTTTTTTCTCTGGTTTTCTTTTAGTCAACTATCTGTTGTGCGGTCTTTTATGCTTCCATCTGTGGAAAGCGTCATACCTCATTGTCTCTCGTAGAATGTGACTGGGGTGGTTCTCTAATTCTGCCAACTTTATCCTAGCCTTTTCTTTCATTGTGTCAATTACTCTGATTTGCTGTAATTCTCTGAAAAGGAATCTTTCAGCTACGTATCTTGGTACGTTTACCGCTTCTTTTAGGCTTTTGTTTTGTTGTGCCTGTATTTTCTTTTTGGTCGTGTTGCATATATGTCCCCATGCAAGTGACGCGTAGGTCAGTATAGGAAGGA